GGCGGGGCTCAGGCCGCAGCCGACGAGCTGGTTAAGAGGATCTAGTCGGGCAGTTTGTGGGCTCAGTGAAGGGTCTGGTGTAATGCCTGTCTGCGGAGGGTTAGAATAAACATCTGGAAGGCTGATGTGTTTGTTAGGTAGCTGCCTGGGTGTTAAAATAGCATCTCGGAGCTGAAGCCTTTAAAAGTTGGTAGAATAATGTACAAGAAAACTTAGGGCGAAGAATGCCCTTGCGTTCCCAATGTATTATTTTCTAAAATGCCTTTTTCCAGTGATGGAAGGAGACAAGGGACTTAAGTGCTGGGCTTTAAGTCTGAATTTAGTTTATCATTTTGTGTCAAATGCTTATTTATCTGTGAGCAGTGCTCTCAGCAGTTACTTTTAGCAACTGTCTTCTGAAATGTAAACATAGGAGCACCATTTTATTTGTGCAAGAAAGAAATTGTTCTGTCTTTACTATGATATTTGGGCTTTTCTTGTTGTTTGGTTGTTTGTTTTTTCTTTTTTTAAGGAATTCCATAGCAGGACAACGTATTGCCTGCTTCTAGGGAGCTGAATTATAGTACAAACTTAGTGTTCAGCAAATATTAATGCCTTTTCCCCTCCCTAATAGATTTATTTCAAAAATAGAAGAAGTATTGAATGACTGGAAACTTATTGGGATTTCTTCAGGCAAACCTCTAGAAAAGGTCAGTTACTGCTTCTGAATTTTGTTTTAGAATTACTAACTAGTAATGCGCACATATATGTTTACATGAATTGCTGTTTTCTTAGGTGTGGCAGATAGGGATTTGTATTGGGCAATTTTGCTTGTAAAAGTGGCGATTTGACGAATAGTTGCTGTAAACTTACCGGTGGGCTGTCTGCTGAACAGGCTGCCTGATAAAATTGGATCTTTATGTAGAGCCAACTGATTTTTTTTTTTTTTTTTTTTTCTCAGCTTTGAATCTAGAAACAGGACAGAAGCTGTGCTAAATTCTTAAGGAGTTTCTATTTGCACTCACTTGTGCCTTTGTCACGCCTCAGTTACTTACAGTTGAGGTTTGCGTAGTGCTACTTATGAGTCAGTACGTTTTGTAGATTGGAGAGATGTTTTTTCAAAGTCTAATTAGAGCCTTTGTAGTGCTTTCTTGGTCCTGGAAATCGCTGAGCTCTTCCGCGTACTAGTGCAAATAAATTCAGCTGTTCTGGATTGAATGGCTGCTGTGTTTCCAGAGTAGTTTTATGATTCTTATTTTTACTCGGAGTACAGAGTATTCAGAACAAAAACTTACGTTATCTGATGAACTAGTTTTCAGCCTTGTCTGTAAGTGTATTCCTGCATGTCTTCTTTTCTAGACCAGACCTCTCTTCTTGATTTCTGGTGAGAATACACCCGTTACACATCAAAGGGTTGTCCAAGTTGTGTTGTTTTAGTAGTAGCATACAGTTCTGTACAGTGATGTTGATTTTTTTCCTAGAAACTTTCCTATTTTTTATTTTTGTTTAAAAATTAATTATCCTTACATGCAGAAGTTTTGCAAATTACAGATACGAAAAGATTTATCAATGAAAGCATATTCCAGTTTTCAGTTTTAGTGAAGTTTATATTAGCTTTAAGGCTTATGATTGTTAACCTAAATTTGTATGATCAAATAATGTCTTTTTCTGTGTGCAGGGTGTATATACCACAGGAACATGGGAAGAAAAATCAGATGAAATTTCATTTGCAGACTTCAGATTCTCAATTACCCATCATTATCTTGTACAAGAACCCAGTGACAAAGATGAGAAAGAAGAGCTCGTAGAAGGTAGCCCATAGTTCTCTTACCCTTACCTGTAAGGATATGACGAAAGACAATTGTGGAATGTGGAATTCACAGTGCATTGGTTGGCTTCTGTGTGAAGCTTTCTGGGATTTGATGGGTGTGATCTGACATTTCGGCTTTTAGCATGCTTTGCATTCAATAGATTGCTAGTAGAAGTAAATTGTAAATCAGCTGAACAGATGCTGATGCTGTTCTTGCCTATCAATTTTTTCCACAGATGCCCTTCCTCTGCCTATGCAGGACTTGCTGTGCATGAAAAATGACTTTCCTCCTAGGGCTCACTGTCTGGTAAGATGGTACGTGTGCTGCCTCTCGTCTTTAATGCAAATAAACGTGGCAATTGAAAAATCTTTGATGCTGGCACAATTAATTGTGTATTTTTTTTCAATCTTAAGAGTTAAAGCTTAAGTAACATTTATTGTACTGGACACAGGGAAGGAGTGCAAAAGCAGCCTGCCAGAGTGGGCATATCCTTACTTCCCCCTGCCAAGTTTTTTTTTTTTACCAAGCTTTTATATTTGTAATACTTAGATGCATTCTTAAAAACGAAAGCTGCAGCATCTTAAGAAACAGCAACCACCGTATTGTTAGTAATGCAGATCTTTAGCAAGTTATAGCATTGTTCTGGAGAGATTGTTTTTATGTATAAATAGTTACAGTTGTTATTAACATGAAGTAAAAAACTCGGGACTGATAAACCTGGAAGTCCGGAGTACTGCATTTGAATGCTGTTAAACTCCAGTAGTTTGTGATTTTGAGAATCTGCAGCACTCCATGCCCATTCAGTTTTTGACCCCTCTGAAAGAAATACTCGCATCAAAATAACAGATTCCACAGTCTATTGGTGACAGTTAAGTTACTCAGGTTACAATATTTCTAAAAATTCAGTGTTTCAGCCGATTTGCTAAAAAAAGACCATAAATGTGTTCTTTTTTTCTCCCTCTCCTAAGGTATGGCTTACGTGAGTTTGTGGTCATTGCTCCGGCTGCAAATAATGATGCAGTTCTGAGTGAATCCAAATGTAACCTTTTGCTGAGTTCCATTTCCATTGCATTGGGGAACACTGGCTGGTAGGTGAAAGCATAAACTTTTTACATGCCCAGGTAAAACGCTAGCATACTGCTACTGTGAGGAAAAAGTATGAAGTTGCTAGTAAAATTTAGTCAAGTTTGTTGTATTTGCACCGTACTGTTGTTACAGAAGGATTTTAAAAATGGGAATTTCCCATGGAAATTTTAGAAAGATTGATTCAATGTGTTGTTTATATTCATTATTGTTTAAAAACCTCAAAGGCTTTTAAAAGCTGCTAGAAGTTGTTGGAATAAGTGATGTACAAAATACAACTTTTGGAAGAGGGTTTCTTCCATATGTGTGGCAACAGTAACTTTCTAACATCCCTCAAAAATATTTAGACTAAAAATTAGGAACTGAAGTCATGGATAGGGCTTTGCTTATAACATGATGATTTGTTAGGTGTTCCATTTAATGGTGAAGTTAACTGTATTTTTCTGTGATTCCTATTACACATTTTAAACTCTGTTCCGCTAAGAGAAAATATATGCTAAAGAGTATGAGATTATGTTGAAATTTTGTTAAAATATTTATCTAGTTTTAAAGACTGCAAGACAGCATGACATTTTAAATAATCTGAAATATTCATGTTTTATAGTCAGGTACCACTGTTTGTGCAAATACATCATAAATGGCGACGAATGTATGTTGGAGAATGTCAGGGTCCAGGAGTTCGAACTGACTTCGAAATGGTTCATCTTCGCAAAGTGCCAAACCAGTATATTCATTTATCAGGATTGCTAGATATCTTCAAATCCAAGATTGTAAGTGCATCTGAATGTATATAACTGGTATAAGAAGAATTATTTTCTTACCTGGTTGCTTGTAGATTCCGTTCTGTCTTGTAGGGATTTTTTTTTTTTGGTAAGCATGAGGCTCACACTGCAGATACCAACAAAATCTTTTTCTAGATGTCACCAGTTTCTAGCAATAAAGAGTGAAAATTGGTATGGGTTTTGTTACTCAAGTGTCACCACCACCTTCCATATTTATTTTCCACTGGTGTGTGAAAGAATGTGCCTGTTTACAGTCTCCTTGAAACAACCCTCTTTTCCCCCTCCCCAGAACAAACTATTTTACTGTTTAAAAGGAAAGAGGAGGGTTGGGGTGGATTTTTATTCTGACACTTTGTAGCTCCCTGTAGCTGAGTGAAGAACAAGGTGATGAAATGTGAGGAGTAGACTGCTTTTTATGGAGTGGTATGGCTGACTGTGACACTTCACAACTAATATTGGTGGTCAGCAATCTCATGGAAGCGCTGAGGAAAAAGATCGTTAACGAAATCCTGATGCGTTCTGGGTCAGAGTTACCTGTGAATTACCAGTTAAATGGAACGTGTGAATGCCTCCTGCAGTTTAAAAAGCTTATGAGCTTATTTGGAACATGGTTTAGCAGGCATGGGGGTGTTCGGGTGGTGGTTGGACTTGATGATCTTGGGAGGTCTTTTCCAACCTTAATGATTCTTTGATTCTACCTGTTTCTTTCTGAGCAATGGCTTTACTAGTAATTCCTGGGGTGTTGGAGTTCTGATAAAATTAGCTCTCATAGAAGCTGTCCTAACTAAGTTATGTTCAAGGCCTGGGGTGTTTGAGGGGGTGTGTTCTTTATATAAAGTTTTTTCTGTACTGTTTTCAAGGGATGCCCTTTGACACCACTGCCTCCGGTTAGTATGGCTATTCGGCTTACCTATGTGCTTCAAGACTGGCAGCAGTATTTCTGGCCGCAGCAGCCACCAGGTAAGAGATTTTTGTCCTCAGAATAACTTGCTTTAGGATAAACAGTCAATACTAAAGAAAAAATTTGTTTCTCTTTGTGGGTAAACCAAGTTTCCTGTATTATTTCTGAAGACACAGGAGTCAATGTTTTCTGTAGTCTTTCTCTGCCTTGCTACAGCTATTCACTAAGTCAGGATCCTGGGTTTATGATGAATGAGTTTTACCACTCTGATAATATCTCTTGATTTGAGCAGTTTGAATAAATTTTACTCTTTTAGAGGATTCTGGTTAAGGGAGCTAGTGGCATAGTGTATTGCAGAGACTGGAGACGGAGGACATAATTTTTAATGCTGTTGCTACATGCAGTTGTGGTTTTATGTTCATTGTGAAGAACTACACCTGTACTTCATTACCTGCACTCAATTAGCTCTTCTGAAATAAACCCAAAGGATTTAAATATGTCTTTCATCTTCTCTGAAGAAGAAGGCTGGAGAACTTATGTAATTAAGCTATCCAAATACTTTATCTGTTCAAATACCGCAGTTGTTTTGTATGTAAACAGTTTGCAAGATGCATTTAAAAGTAAGGATCAGATGTTGTAATAGCATTATTGTAATGGCATTACAATACATTATTACCCATTTAGATTTTTGCTCAATGAAGACTGTCTATTTTTGTTTTATGTATTTGAAGGGTATAACATGGGAGGTGGCTGAGCATGCCGAGAGGCATCTTTAAGTACCTGGGATTACAAGGAATTTCCTAGATCATGGGGTTAAGTCTTTAACTGCAGGAAACATAACATATCACTCTTTTTTCATAGAATTATCAGCCTTTTAAAGGTAGTTGTTTTTGCACTCTGCAGACTTGCTCTTTTTCTTCTTTTTCTGCTTGGAACTGATTTCATGCCTAAATGTTTCTATGGCAAACTTGTGTCTATTTGTTGTTGCATTGGCATTGACTTTTTAAGACTGCCCTTATAGCTTTCGTCTTTGCCTGTATGAAGGGAATAACCTTCCCTCAACATGGATGGCAAGAATTTTATCTGTCTTTTTGAATGTCCAGTTGCATGATTACTTCCCAGTTTCTGCTGGACACAATTACTTTGACTGTATGCTAGGACTGCATTTTCATAGCTGTGTCACTTTTGCAAGTAAGTTATTCTTTGGTCATCCTACATGCTACAATCTTTTTACTGTGAAAGTAAGATGATATGCTTCTTAAAGTATTTCATAAATTCTGTATGTAGAATGTATTGATCTGTCTTCAGATATAGATGCTCTAGTTGGGGGAGAAGTTGGAGGCCTGGAGTTTGGGAAGTTACCGTTTGGTGCCTGTGAGGATCCTATTAGGTAAGAGAACAGTTCAGAAAACTGTGTTTTGTAACTTCATTAATGGAGGACTGAAGGGTATGTTATTTAAAATCAGCTTTGCTGCTTATCACTTAATATGTGTCTAACAGATGATTTAATTATTCAAGTACATAAGAAACATCTGTGAAAAGTAATGGTCTGATAGCAAGTAAGACCATCTGCAAAATTGTCTGATATTCAGAGTTCTAGCTCATAAATCTTTCACCATAAACTTCTGGAGTACTCCATTTATCTCTGAAACTGCTGTGTTGAAATATATCTTTACTGGAGATGAACTTTAAAAATGGTGTGCCTGCATTCAAGGATTGGACGTGCTCTCGTTTTTGACTTTTGCAGAAGACTGAAATTGGGAGGGTCTGTAAACTGAGTTATTGCAACCTCTCTATGGCCTCTTCTGAACACCCCATCATCACTCAGCAAACCTAGGAATCATTTTAATGTATTAGACAGCGTTTGATGCTGTAGGCAGTTCATGAAAGTTGTTCTTTCCTCTGTACCTGAACACCCAGAATACAATGCACAATTTCTCCTTGTGGAGAGGAGTTGTGAAAGAGTCCTGTTAGCAGGTACTGGTAAAGTTTAGTGCAGTACTGCATGACGTGCTCTAGAATCACCAACAGAATGATTGCAGCAAGAAAACTCATTGGAAAACATGCATATTTCTGGATGTAGCTGCAAAATACATAGAGGGACTTAAATATAAACAAATACCTTTCAAGATCTTAACTGTATTGGAGCAAACACTTTCTACTAGTGCTGAAAGATTTAAATCTTTTTTTGTTTCAGTGAGCTTCATTTAGCTACTACGTGGCCTCACCTAACCGAAGGTATAATTGTCGACAATGATGTTTATTCGTAAGTATTTTGTCTGAATTGGAAATAACTAGAAGTGTACTTTCTTTGTTAACTGCTGCGTTTTGGTGACATCTAAAACGTTGTGCGTGGGTTTGTGTGTGAAAGAGAACTCATTTTGAGGAATGCTAAGGTCAGTCGATAGAACATCTCATTTGGGGAAAAGCCTGCGTTTGAAACGCGTTTCTGTGTGAGAAAATATTACTGTATCATAGTCTCAATAGAATGTACACCTCCATTGTGGGGCATATTCTCATGCTAGACTTAAAAGTTTTGTATATTGCATATTTCTTGGGAAAGGTGATAGTGGAACATAGAAAGCAGAAAGAATTAACTGATTGACATCCCTCTCCCCAAAACTATCATCCAGGTTTTCTGCTAAGCCTCCTAAAGAGGAGGAACAGAGTATACTTATACCTAAGGAAGAAGGAAAAAAAAAAAGTGGTTTATTGTTTAATTAATGCAGAAATTAGTTTTCAACATCAATACATTTTAAAAGACAGTTTATTAGTGGCTGAGTTGTTGTCATGCGTTTCTTACTCCGGTTATGTATGTACATGAGAACATGTAGGTGCTTGCTTCCATTTTAGAGTGTTTGTCGTGTTCTCCTGTGTAATGTGGTGTATGTTATGGCTTCCATAGCCTAACTGACTATGACATTACATTTATTGACAATTTTATACTCATCTCTTGCATACTTATGGTGACAGCATGACTTTTTTTTTTTTAAAGTGACCTGGATCCTATTCAAGCACCCCAGTGGTCCGTGAGAGTCAGAAAAGCAGATAACCCTCAGTGTCTACTGGGTAAGACATCAGAATTCCCTGTCTTCTCTTATGGATTTTAAGCTAGTAAGTCATGATACTAGGATTGAATTGTTGCTTACCTTGACCTCTGTACTCTTGTCCGTCCTTGCCTTTTAGCTTTTGGGGGGGAGGGCTTCAAAACTAAGAAAATTCAACATTCTGTAGAAGTTTCATCTTGCTTTGGGTGAAGTAGTGGATTAAACTGCATGCAGAACTGTACTTTGGAGAGGTAACTGATAGCTGTCTAGGCATGCAAGCTTCTAAGCTCTAATTATGAGGTTTAAAGATATTCGTGCTTCGGAACAAATTATCATGTCTTTCATATCTTTCGGATTAAAAGATAAAATCTACTGTCCTGCGGGCATCATTTCGGGAGTTTGCTTACTGTTCAATGAGATTTTAAATGAGTAGTTGTTCAGAAACTCTGTTTGTCTTACAGGTGACTTTCTTACCGAATTCTTCAAGCTTTGCCGTCGAAAGGAGTCGACTGATGAGATACTTGGACGGTCAGCATTTGAAGAGGAAGGGAAAGGTAAAACTAAAATCTTGTTGATTTGTGGTATTTGTTTTTGTGTTTCACGTTATTTTACCTTCCCTGTTCTCTTTTCCTGACCAGATCGATCAGTATTTATACTTGCAACTCTTAGGCATTTTCTATAATACTCCTAGGAATTTTCTGGTCAGTGCTGCATGATATGATTGCTCATGAATTCTAGGGAAGCTTAGCTCCCCGAAGCCCCAGAGGACAGTTGCCTCTTGTTGTTGTTGTTGTTTTTGTTTTTTTTTCCCCTAGAAAACAAGGGTTTAAAATTTGGCTAGCGTGTAAGTTGGTTTTGAGCACACATCAGAGATTTGTCTGTATCGTTTTATGTGGTTTTTGTATTTTTTACAATTTTTTTCTGCTTTTTGAGGTACTATGTAGTGCATGTTTTAAGAGCCAGTTTAAAAAGTCTTTAATCTATTTGAAAAGCTTTACTGTCATCCTCTCTGTTTTAAGGAATTTTAAGGATAAAAAAAAAAAAACAACCAAGCCAAAATTATCTGACAACAGGTCAGACTTTATCCCAACAGTATAGATACTGACATCTTTCTCGTGTCTCTGTCTCTGCCTTTCTTTTGCTTTTCTTGCTGTATATGGTGAACATTCCCTTTCTCCCTGCCTCTTGTCACCTTTTCTTCCCTCCAAATACAGCCTGTGTCAGTTTATTCTCTTTGGTTGTACTTGGTCTTAATTTTGAAGGAACTCGCTAGTTAGATTGAAAAGGTGTTAGAGTAGGGTATGTATTACTCCTAGTGCTTGACGTACAGTCTCTTTAGCCCTCCTTATCTCTAATTTTCTTGAAATGTTTGCCAAGATGAGTTTTTTCAGGCTGCTGGTGATTATCCACTGAAATTTGTCTGCCCTCTTTTTAACAATGTTAATTCATTTTATTGTAAGAGAGGTTCTAAAGGTTACCAGCAGCAACTCTGGAAAAAGTCTTTTGATTGGAGGAGTTTACCTGAGCACTCTGAAAGTGTGTTTACACCATGTAAGGTCACATATATAGTAATTAATACCGGATTTATTTAAGGCTTACCTAAAGCTTTAGCATACTCTTGAGCAGTCTTTGTTACCTACAACGTATTCATTGGTATCAAACACTGGCACTTCAGCAGCAGGCTTTTGCTGATGATCTGCCAGTAATTGTCTGCAAGTATGCAGTACTACTACAGTAGGTGGCAGGCACTATCTACAGCAGCTCAGTCTAGAATTTCTTCATTCAGTAAAAGGAGTCAAGGACAGTCTGTGATTCCTTTGTGACCGCATTCTGCTGCTTGTCTTTGTGGCTGAGAACAGTGACTATCAGTTATGGAACCTGACAGCACAAGGGTGTAGCTCTGGTTAACCGGGTGTTAAAAATCAGTAGAAGATGAATAGACTGAGTATGAAAGGTGAACTTTTAAAGAGAGATGGTCTTGTTTTTTGGTGTGGGTGTTTTTTGGTTTATTTTTTTGTTCTAATTATTTTTATTTATTTTATAGAGGTTGCTGATATTACCCATGCTTTGTCGAAGCTCACAGAGCCAGCACCAGTCCCAATCCATAAATTATCGGTCACAAATATGGTTCACAGTGCAAAGAAAAAAATTCGCAAACACAGAGGTGTAGATGAATCACCTTTAAACAATGAAGTTCTGAACACTATTCTTCTGGTAAGTGAACTGCTTGTGCACATTAAATGCATATAAAACATGTATTTCATGCTTCCATTGATGCATTTGGTTTATAGTTCATAGCAGAATTATAAATAAAAGTGTCTGATGTCAGTTCCGTTATTTGAATTGCATTTATCACTTCTTGAAACAGACTAAGTTGTTACAGGTCTGTGCAATATAAGCGGACTGAAAATGACCATTTTAATTATAGTGGTTGCTGGTATGTAACCAGCAGTAGCTTTATGGAGAAAGTGGGAGAAGCAGGAGAAACATGCTGATGGAAGTTTGGATTTTTTTGTTTCTTCAAGTTCTTATTTCCTGATGCTGTTGCCAAAAAGATTATGTAAGTTTTACTGACTGACACTCATGAGAGAGAGAAAGCAATTTTGAGTGTGTGTTCATACAGACTTCGCTGTGATTGCCCCATGTCTTATAATAGATAACTTTTGGAAAGAGGAACTTTGTGGAGTCTCTAGGTAGAAGTAGTGATTTCCCGCCCCACCCCATATCTTTTATTCTTCCAAAGACTGTCCTTTTTTGGTAACTTATACTTACAGGCTTAAAATCTTACTTAGCCACTTGTGTTGACAAACAGGAAAGAGATTGTGTGGTTTTGGAAAAAATGCCATTGTTCCTGTATTTCCTGCTTTCTTTTATTTCTTACATAGAATCTCTTCAGTCAGTTTAAATCTGCTCCTTCTGATAGTCTGACGTACAAACTAGCTTTATGTCTGTGTATGATAAACTTCTACCATGGAGGAGTAAAAGGAGTGGCACATCTTTGGCAAGAATTTGTGTTAGAAATGCGCTACAGGTGGGAGAACAACTACCTTATTCCAGGGTAAGATTTTGTTGTTGTTGTTGCTTTGTCATAGAAAATGTTCTGTGTTTTGGGAAGAGAATGAGTTCACTATGACTTTGAAACATACTGTTTTGGGTTTTTTTAAGTTGCAAATGCTATTCTCTTTTTATTACTCTACTTCCTTAAAGCAAGCAAGGTTAGGGAGTAGGGAAAAGCATCTGTGCCCTCCTTGGAAAACTTCAAGACACCTGGAGGAAGCTCAAGTTAAACAGCACTCCACTGTGTGAAGGAGGGTTGATAAAAAAAGAAGTTATGTGAATGCTTGCCTTCCAGTTTATCATGAGGTAAACATGAAGGAGCTGATCTAGAGAGACACACCTTTGCTTTGTGGTGTGGTTTCGCCACATTTCTAAGGGAGCTGTTGCAAGTTCCTGCTGTTGTAGTAGCCTTCTCGGGCAGCTAATGCTGTCTGAAGTGTTCCAGCCCTTCTGGGTTATGTCTGCTGCAACAGAGCTTGTTGCAGACCAGATAAAGGCTTCTGTCAAGATGAGGTATCAATGTAGAGAAAAAATATACCTTTTTTTTTTCTTTTTTTTTTTTTTTTTTTAAGTGGGGTGGCTGAGAAAAAATATACCTTTTTTTTTTCTTTTTTTTTTTTTTTTAAAGTGGGGTGGACTGGCTATTTATACACTAGTTTTACTTTCAAATGGTTGCACTAACAGGAAAATAGAAGTTGAAATACATAGAGATCACTATACTGTATCATTGCAGTTTTAAAAGTAAAGTAAAAGGTGCTTAAGTTTGGTTTCAAAATGTTACCCTTCAACATCCAAATGAAAAATTGACCAGGAAATGCAGGGTGTGTCTGTTTTGTACTAGTGTGAATGATCTCTGAGCTTCAGAAGTTACCTCTAAGTGTAGTTGAAATGGTGGGGGTGGGTTCAATGTGGATATTTGCGCCTCTTTTGGATTTCGTATAGTGTGAGACCACATGTCTATGAGAGAGATTCAACTTTATAATTGGTAATTGTTACACTTCTACCTTTTGTTAGATTAGCTAATGGCCCTCCAGATCTGAGATGCTGTTTACTGCATCAGAAACTTCAGGTAAATATCCTAAATTTAAGATTGATTTTTCTCCTAAGGAAACTGTCAAAATTATAGCAATTATTAACTAAATATATTGCTTTTTGTAGATGTAGCTATGCTTGTATTGTTGGGTCCAGACTTCATTTCTTGGGAGAATCTTTGTTATAGTAACAAGGTCAATGGAATTACTATCTTCTAGAATTATAAGAGACTTTTGATGACTGTCAAAGTTTTTCTGTGACATTGTTTCCATAGGAGAAGCAATTTTTAAACAATTTTTTTTTCCCTTTAACTTGTTAGATGTTAAATTGTTGCATAGAAAGAAAGAAAGCAAGAGATGAGGGAAAAAAGGGGAGCGTGTCTGATCGTTCACCTGGTGGTACTTCTGGTGATGCCGGGAAAGGAGCAGACCACTCTGGAGATAACCCTGATAAGGAAAAAGAAGTTGGCAAGTCTTGGGAGTCGTGGAGTGACAGTGAAGAGGAATTTTTTGAATGTTTAAGTGACACAGAAGATCTTAAAGGAAATGGGCAGGAAAATGGAAAGAAAGGAGGAGCAAAAGAGGGCAACAGAGAGGCTGTAAACTTAAAACCAGAAGGTCGTCTGCATCCGCACGGAAAGCTGACGCTGCTGCATCCCGGAGAGCCTCTCTACATTCCAATAACACAGGTGAGGTCGCAAGAGCTGAGCCGGATGTGCAATACGACTCTCACGCAATGTGGCTCATACCTAGGATTGTGAAATTGTGTATAGTTTGCAGGTTATAGCCTTAACTGTTGTTAAAATTGCTAAGTGTTTTCTGCCTAAGACCTTGTTTTCCATTTTTTAAACTTAATGAGGCTATTAAACTGGAATCTCGCATGCTCTTTGTTTTGTTTGAGAATGGGTCTCTCTACCAAATTTCACTCAAACCAAATTTTTTTTAAAAAAGAATTAAGCTGTCTTGCTTTAAATTTGGGTTTCTTTTTATTTCCAGCTGTTGAGACATCTTAATCCCCTCCTTACTTTCTTTCCTGTAAAGTAGGAACTGCCATGGTCCTTCCACCGTGGAGTTTTTCTGGCTGACTGATCAGAGTACTGGATCAGTTTTGCTGCTACACTTTTGTCTTTTTTTCTTTTTTTTTTCCCTTTTTAAAAAAAAAAAACAACCCACACATTTGTGAACTCGTATCTAAAAGGCCATAGTCAGCAGTTTTTGGTAGCATTATCTAAAACAGGTTGATCATCAAACCACTAGAAATGTTATCTCACACAGACTTTCTTGCAGACTAGGGATGAAGTAGGAAGCGGTGGTGTCAGAGGAAGCAGTTTGAAATCAGCCATGCATGAAGAGCACAGTATTTTTCATTCACTTGAGAGCAACTGTTAATGAATGTTGCTTTGTGTGGGTAAAAGGTATGAGCAGAGTGTAGTCAGGCAAAATGTTGTCAATTAATTGTGTGCTGACAGTATCAACGGCAAAAGTTGTACATTGCTTTAGGTGGATTTCCATTCATCTCAACAGTCAAACACTTCCTGGACTTCATCTGGATTTTGGCATTTAACAATATATCCTTATGTTGTTACTTCAATCTCAGGTTGTTTTCTTTTTAGTTTCTTTTTGTTAGTGTCTTCAGATGCAGAGCTTTAGGCTAAACAGTTTAAGGAGTATGAAGTTATGATTATTTCCTTTTGAATACAAATACAGTACTTGTGGTGACAGGGAGCTTTCCATTCCTTTCTGAATCAGGGCTAAGTCTAGGAGAGGCTGTTTGTAAACTTGTGTTTTTCTGCATTGCAGGAACCAGCACCCATGACTGAAGATCTGCTGGAAGAACAGTCTGAGGTACTGGCAAAACTAGGGACATCAGCAGAAGGTGCTCATCTTCGGGCACGCATGCAGAGTGCCTGCTTGCTCTCGGATATGGAGTCCTTTAAGGTAGTACTACTTGAAGAATTCTGTGAGGCTGCTTTCTGCGTAATTAAACTGTCCCTCTTGCTTGTGTTGAACAATTTTGAAGGTTTTTCTGACGAGATTCTTTTCCTCCACAAAACAGTTTCAAAATAGTTTAAAGTTGCAAATAAAATCCCATTGACAAAACTCTTAGAATATTTCAAAATCTATGACTGTCCAGTCTATTATGCGGTGACGTTCCCGTAAACTTGCACAATGTCTGTGGGAGGGAAAAAGCCCTCAACACAGTTGATTAATTGGGAATTAAAACTTGGGCAACCCTACACAAAATGATGTCGGAAGAACACTGAGCATCAAAGTTGTGAACCAGAATGACATGTCTCTCCTTCCCACCTCCTTGTAGCCTTCATGTAGTGTCTATCTCACCAGTATTTTCCACTGTGTCTAGCTTTGTAAAGTGCACCTTTAATCGGACTCCAAGTGGGTAAAATGTAAAGGTGGTGTAAAGAGAAAAGAAATCTATTAAAATCTATTAACATATTCACAATTCTGTATTTGGACTTTGGGGAGGTGGATGTAATTTTTATGTATGGTTTTATGTCTATATATATAGAACAAGATGTCTTGTTCTTTAGTAGTGGTATAGGACTATTTAGAAGTCCTTTATAGAGCTGTTTATCAAACTGGGACTTCACTAGCTGTGGTTTTGGGTCATTTGTTCCATTTATTTTCTGAGCTCTGAAGAGGGAGCTAAAAGCACATACACTGCTGTCATTAAAGGGTCTCAAAACTCTGAGAAGATTGGAGATTCTGTCACAAAATAGCTATTTTTTTTTTAATTATTGCAATGTTACTTTATAGTAAAAGGATACAGATTTACTGTAAAGTAAGAGTATTTGTAACATCGATATCAGTTTATTAGCAGTGATTCATGTCATATATGTAGCAGTTTTATTTCTATGGTGCAAGTGATGTAAAAACTCAAAGAATACAGAACCATAATTTGAAGCAGAAATGCACTCTCAATAGGTACATCAAATAGAAAGCTGAGTTTCCTCTTATGTTCTAGACCTATGGATGTATGTATTTGTGTTGACATTGCATCTGTGAAAAATTAAGTTGTTTTTGTTTGGGGGAGATATTTTATTAAGTTCCTTTTTAAAGCAGGAAGAAAAAGTGAATTTTGTTACTGGAGTGTTAAAAGATGGGAAGTCAGTGCTGAAAGCATATTTATGCAGCCCTGTGATCCTATAGACTTGGGCTTGTTTTTATCTAAATCTTTAATGGTGTAAGCTTATGCATAAAATATAATAGTGAAAATTCATATTTATTGCACGTATCGGGTACCACATAGAAGCTTGACCTAATGGTATAATTTTGAGCTTGCTTGAAATATACTGATGAATATACTGGTTTGGAGCGATAAGGAGGTTTCTTTGGTTTTGTCGAGGGTGTGAGTTTTACCCCTTGTCATTGTCGTGGTTGGCGCTTTATTCCCTCACCCTGCCGGATTTCTTTCCTAGGGTACAGTTTGGTGACTGTGAACAGAATTCCCTGAGTTTTGGCTCCTAGCCTATGCTCTACCCACTAAACCGTATTGCCTGCCTACCCAGGTTATCATGTTTTTATAGGAATTTTCTGGGCACAGATTTTATCTCCTCTTCATTCTAGGCAGCTAATCCTGGCTGTTGTCTGGAGGATTTTGTGAGGTGGTACTCCCCACGGGATTACATCGAAGAGGAAGTGGTTGATGAAAAGGGGAATATAGTAATTAAGGGCGAGCTGAGTGCCCGAATGAAGATTCCTAGCAACATGTGGGTGGAGGCCTGGGAGACAGCAAAACCAGTCCCGGCCCGGAGGCAGAAGAGACTCTTTGATGACACTAGAGAGGCAGAGAAGGTAAAAAGCGCTGTGGCTGGGGGTAGTCTGATTTATAATGCTTGCACAAAACTTATAGCAGCCCTTTCTTTTTCCTTCTGCAAGATTCAAACAGTAACACGTCGTTGGACTATATTCTTGGAGTTAGTAAACTGTTTTGTACATGGCTTAGGGTTAATCAGAAATTCTTGCTGCCGTACAACAGTGTGCTTGAAGTATCTAAAAGAATTGGTGTGTGGAATGTAACTGCACAAGCTGTATTACTTAGGCATTTCTTTGAATTATTAGTAAATAAATTCTTATCTGGATGTAGGTGTTAGGAAACTAAACTGTTGCTAAAACATAATTATTTTTAGTTTCTTTTTAACCTTTTGGGACTGTAAGCAGTCACTGAGGATTCATGTAAAACTACCTACTGAGTCCTGTCTTCCAACGGTGCTCCCTTCTTGGGAATTCTTCGGTGTAGGTGCTCATCTTTCATAGTTAGCCTTACCATTGGGAAGTAGTTTTGATCACTAACGTGTTAAATTTTCCAATGTTACAGGTGCTTCATTACCTTGCCGTTCAGAAACCAGCTGACCTTGCAAGGCATCTCTTGCCTTGCATCATCCATGCGGCTGTACTCAAGGTAAAGGAAGAAGGTAAATAATGTTTCATAAGTTATTAAGATATTTTAGGGTGAACACTGATGCAATAATTACAACTTCTTCATTTTTTTTCCTCCTAATAGAAGCACTAGAAGATATATCTTCAGTTAAGAAGATTATTAAGCAGATAATATCCCATTCCAGTAAAGTTCTACGATTCCCCAACCCAGAGGACAAGAAGTTGGAAGTAAGGCTGTTGTACTGGCTGGGGCTGAAAACCTGAGAGTCTTTTACACTGTTTGTGGGAGTGTTAAAAGAACTTCTTTTTAATTTTCACTTTCATTAAACCCCTGCAGGAAATCATTGCTCAGATTATGAGTGTGGAAGCTATCATCGCCAGAGCCAGGTCTCTGAAAGCAAAATTTGGGGTAGAGAAATGTGAAAATGAGGAGGAGAAAGACGATCTACAAAGGTGACTGATATTCCCCTCCCCCCCGCTGTGTTGTTTTGTTTTTCCTCTGATGCCCTTTTTTTGTACTTTCAAAATTTAGGACAGATGGAATAGGTGATAATACAGAAATCATATTTAGAAGCTATAAACATTAGGTGTCCCTGTCCGTAGGCTACCTAGAGATGTTACGTGTGGGTAGCCTGAACGCTTCTCTAAGTAACCATCTCTCTGAAAACATGTGATACAGATCTTTTTAATGGAATCTGTCTTGACAGTACTGGCATTTCATTTATTGTTTCATGTATGTAAAAGGTACATTTGATGAACTTTGTTACAATAGAGGTAAAATTAGAAGGACTAGGAATTCAGTATTTTCTGTAACATGGAATGAAATCCTCCCCCCCACGTTACATTTTCTGGTCTCCTTACTTTTTTGAAACATATTAATGAGGAACCATAGGAATGAAAAGCAGCAAGCCATGTTTCATTGCGTCACTGCCTCCTGTCAGATGATTTACTTCTCGCTGCTGCGCTGCGAGGAAGAGCTGGCATTTTAGTAGTACACGTTGGGAGTTCAGAGGAGCGATGTCTGACCAATGCGGTATCTTTGTGCTCAAAAAAATTGGCATATTGTGACTTCTTCTGTGTGACGGACACCGTGAAGGTTTTTCATGGTGAATTCATACATCTGCATTAGGAGCCTGGGTTCCATCGACAGTTAATTGCGAGAAGCAGGTCCTTTCAGAGGCTGAATTGCAGCCTAGGTGTTAATTGGCCCTGCTGCTGGAGTCGCAGTAATCCTGCCTGTCCTGACCTTGGGTGGGAGGCTGCCCTGTGCCGCTTAGCTTTGACCCATGTTATTGGTGAAAGAACAGCTGCTCGTATTGGCAGGAAAGGGCGAGCAGCAAGGTAGGAGGGAACAAGTGCAGGCTAAGGGGGGGGCAGTCTTTAAGGCAGAGGGGAAGGAGTAAAGGGATGAAAAGGTGATGGTAGTGTTTGAGTAGGTTGCCGAGAAAAGTCAGGGTGTTTTCCTTCAACTTCCATAACAGAGAGCTCTTGAGAGTGACTGCCAGCTCTCGCTCTCCAGATGATGCTAGGTGGAGACCTCCTCACAGGAAACAGTTCCAGTTTTAGATTAGCAAACTGGATACAGCTGAGAATGAAACATTCTTTTCCTTTTCTACAATTTGTACCACCAGATTTGTAAACTGTCTCCTGGAGCAGCCAGAAGTGTCAGTTATTGGCGCCGGAAGAGGACCTGCTGGTAGCATTATTCACAAGCTGTTCGTGAATGCTCAGAGGGTAAGAGAGTGCTCTTGGTGGCTTTGCAGACACCTAATTTAAGCAGTATGAGGCAGCGACATCATATGATGTCAGTTTATTTTGTGTGCATATATGCATGTATTGTCATAGATGTGCTTGAGGGTTTTTTGGGATGTTCAGTATGATTTTGGCAATAATAGAACCTTGCAAGATGAAAGAAGAGTAGATGACCCGGGAGGTGAAACAGTTAAAGCCATCTGGGTAGACAGGTGTCTTTAGTTTGATCTACTTCAAACAGTAACATCAGTAATGCCAGTATGGCACAAATTCCTGCGTTATTCAAGTTACACAATATATGCAACAGCGTAGCAAGAACAATCAAGTGTGGTGACTGTTTCACACAGGAATGGAGAGAAACACCTCATAATATTAAACATTTTAGAAGGAGTAACTTTTTAGACTAAGTTTACGCTTGAAATACTTGAGATTGCCAAGCACGCTAGTCTCCACAGAGGAAGGTTTCTGTTCTTTCTACATTCAGTTTACGTACTGGCAGTGTTGCATCTGTTCTCTGGAAACCCTTCCCCAGCCTCTATTGGTATAAACACTCCCTTTTTCTCTTAGCAGTCTTTGTAATAATTAGCCTGAAAGTACTGATTTCCAGACTTCTTGGACTGCAGTCAGCCTTCAGTTTCTGCCAGAATTACACCTGTTCAGAGCATCATATGATCTAACTAAAATTTAACTGCAGGGTAACAACAAGGTAGCATAGTATTGCAGATATCTTAGAGCATGAGATCCCATTTGGAAATCATTGATGTAAAAATACTGTGATTGGGTATTAAACACTTTTCAAATACAGATGCTTTTATAATAATCTGTATTTTGCAACCCGGCATAAAAAGAACCATTCTGAAAACAGACCATGGTTATTCTGAGAAATGAAAATCAGAGCGTTTATTTTATCCTTCTGGCCTTTAGGGAGAATCTGGTTGCAGATTCCAGCGTGGCAACCAGCCTTACGGCCTTCCCTGCAGAGCCTGAGATCGTGCCCTTACGCATATACAGGCGTGTGGCCCTGCCTTTTTAATGCGTGATGTGTGTGAAGCTGAGTTAGGAGTTTCTGGGGTTAATGTTCGATGAAGATGTGTGTGTATTTCTGGGGTTTTGTTTCGTTTGAAACATGAGTAACTAAAGCGAGGTTACAGGTACTGCCCACTAGTAGCTGGTCACTGTTAATTAAGGCTTCTTAGTGGGACCGGAGCTGACTTGCTACGAACCCCCCTGGTGTTTAATCTGCCATGGATTAGGTCAGTAGAGAGCCCTTTGGTAAACAGAGATTGAATGACTTGCTTGTTCGTGACCTTTTGAACCTGGACTCCTCTCTGTGAGCTGTGTAACATGTGGTGTTATGTTCTCAAGTTTTCTCAGGAAAATTAACGATAGCAAATGCATGTTCTTGGAAGTAGAGTGCATGATGTCTCTTAAACCTACAGTCTCCTCCTAACCTCTTGTAAGTCACCTCTGACTTGCCTTTGTTTCTATCTTTCATCACTGATTCTTTTCTCATCCCTTTCCAAGCTGACTGAATCTTCTGACGAGGTAACCAATTTTGTCCCTCGTTTCCCACTCATCTTCCCTAGCTGCATAGAGTTGAACCTTTTGGTAGAGATAGTACAGCAGCCTGACTGAGTTTGTACTGTTGTGCACATACTAAGCGTAAAAATAATTTTGCGTTTCCAGAATGGTTTTTCTCAGTCGCAGACTTTATTTTTGGAGCCTTACAGGTAGTGAAAAGAGAGGGAAATATTTTTAAAAAACAAAAAAACCACCCAAACAAAAAAAACCTCGAAACAAGCAAAAACCATTTCTTCAAGTGAATATTAAGTTTTTTTGATGCTGAATATGTGGCCGTGCCTTTATATTCTTCTCTGTTGCTGTCTCTGTCTTTTGGTTACTGAACAGCCAGATGTCAGGGGGGGCAGGTAGGGATGGACAACACCCGAACGTTGCAATCGAGCCAGGGGCACTCGGTGGCACCACGGAACCTTTTGGGCAGAGATGGAGCGAGGTCTGGGGAGGAGCTGGGGTAACGGCCTCGAGACGCAGAGCACAGGGAATGTCCTTGCTGTTGGTTTCCTAGAACTGTTCCTGAGGGAACGAGTGGCAGTTGTCCCTGGTGCCTCCTCCTGTGGCACAGGCTGCAGAGCTGAGAGGGGCCAGGTCCCCACGCCAGGGGAGTGGCGGGGTGGCCGCGAGGGTCGTTGAGGGTCCTCCGGTGGGTTCTGCCACACCGCTGGGACATTGATAAGCTCAAGTTGCATACACTTAAATTAGGACCCTGTTAGGGTATTGGGGTGTGTGGGAGCACGCCAGCCCTGCTTCCAGTGCTCAGACTCCAGTGTTGCTGCTTACTGGCTTGGAGGCCATGAGCAGCGATGGGGACTGCACAGGGTCTCGCTTGCTCTGCACTGTCGTTTTGGGAAGCCTCTCTCTGGCCACCGAAAGCACATATTGAAGTAATAGTTTGAGCTTGACAAGGCAGGTGACTTGTCAAGACCCTGGTAGTGGCACTGGTTATTTTTACATGGAGGCTGGCTGGGGCTCATGCAGCCACAAGGAGCTGCGGAGAGAGCCCTGCCCGAGAGGGGCATTTCGTCCGGTCAAAACCCTCGCCTCACGCTGTCAGAAAATCAGGAGCTTCATCTAGGCTGAGCTTCACCATCCACACGTGCAGGTTCTTCCATCTGATTGTGCGCAGTTTATTTCCTGACATCCCATTAGCGCCTTGCTCTGTGTACACATAAAGCCTTTTTGATGTGTTTGCCATTTCTAATCTTCCTCTGCTCCTCTGACGAAATATTTTCTGCATCCCGATGTTAACAAACAGCTTGCCCTGTAATTACACCTCTGCTCTGATTTCAGGTTTCTGCGGTGCCGCCACTTGATGAAGAATTGAGGAGATCGGGTCCATCAGAGGAGCGAAGGCTGAACGCGGGGGCCGTTGCGGATTTCCCCCCGCCCACGGGCCGCGAGGTGATCTTGCGCACAACTGTCCCCCGCCCCGCTCCCTACTCCAAGCCGTTGCCCCAGCGCATGTACAGCGTGCTGACGAAGGAGGATTTTCGACTCGCGGGTGCCTTTTCAGCAGACACGACGTTCTTCTGATGCACCCTGCTTGTGCGTCTGCACGAGTAGGATGCTGCTCATTTTCCTCGGGGAAGTCAACGTTACAGACTGACGGGCTTGCGGTGAGGAGAGAACACGGTTGTCGTTGGTGACGGAGTCACGTTCCCAAGGACAGAGCTGCCCTGGCAGCCGAGACGGATGCCCGCAGCAACTCTGACCTGGAGGCTTGGAATGGCTTCACAAGTAGTTTTAATCGGATCTTGGGGGAGGAAAGTTCAGTGATCTCCTCTCTGTCCAAAGGCAGCAGATTATATTTTTTTTGCATTAGCTTGTTTAATAATGGACACGGATGGGCTGTGTGCAAATACTTGCTGTTGCAATGGATGCAGAACGTGCTGCTTTGCAGTTCGTAATCACACTTTATCAAGTGACAGTAGTCAAACTGATGTACAAACATTAAGTGATTTGTATTTATTGCTAATCATAAATGTTGAGCCCAGTATTTTTTGGTTAATCACTAAGTTGCAAATACTTCTACAATATCCTGATTTTATGTAAAGTATGCAGTACATTCTAGTTCATGCTAAAGCCTCCTAGCATTGCATTGCAGCGAAGATCTTGTCTCGGACACTTCTCCCAAACAGAAATAAATGTGTTTGGGGCTCTGACTGGGCAGTCGGCCTGAGAGCCCTGCGTGGCTCACTGGTGGCGTTGGGTACGTTACACCCTTCCCTGCAGACAGGGGCCCAAGCTGTGTGCAATGACCTGGGCAGAGGTGTTTTGCTGCGAGCAACCTGCAGGAAGTTAGAGCCTGCGGGGATGCCGCGGCGTCTCTGAGCCGATGTGATGGACCCGTTCTGTCACCTGCCATCAGCTAACCCTGCCGGGTGTCACGCAGACACCAGGGCCTGCGCGTGCCAATGTTGCTTTGCAGTGACCTTGGTCTGTTTTGATGAGAAGCAACAAAAGCTCAGCGTTACTTCACAAAGTGTAAAATCAGCCACAGTATTGTTGATGTTACTCAATAAATCTGAACTTACTCTTGGCGCTCAGACGTCACTGGGTACCAGAGATGGTTTTGTCACGGTTCTTTTTAAATGTCATCCTTGCGTGATTTGTCCTAGGAACAGCAGTGTTTATGGCTGTGGCTACTTTTAAGTAGAGAAAGTTCACTTCTTCCTCAAAAGAGTAGGGTCACAGCTGTTACCCTAACACTTCTTTGAGAGGCCAGGGGCCAGAGTGTTTCCCTCAGATAAAGGTGGATCAAGTAGAAATACAGGGTTTTTTTCAGGGTAAAGTAGAATTAATCTTCTTCAGAGACAGTCTTGTCACAGAATTTGTTCTCCGGGCTGTTTGTGTTCTGCCTGAGGTAAATCCCTCTGATAAAGGGCTGAGAAAGACAAAGACCCATTGAGCTGTTGTTTAACCGTCTGGCTTCTTTAAAAGAAATTGCACTAGTAATCTTTAGCTTCTTCACTGATACTCTTGGTTTCCTCCTCTCCTGCTGTGCTGTCTTCATGAAATTTTACATTGACCTGTGGTCTCTTCTACAGGCTGTATAAGCTGGAAAATCTCTCACTTCATTATCAGGCTCTTTTAAGCTGCTGAAGAGGTGATTCCTTCAGTTGTACTCAGAGAACACAAACAGCAGGTAACATGTTTCTGGGGCAGTTCGTTACCTAAAGGTGTCTTCGCTGGAAAACTCCAGTTAGTTTCACTCTGTAGAAAATGGTGCACTCACAGCAGTACCGTGTCTTAAATCTCTAACTGAGAAAAGAGAATGTTTAAGACTTTTAAGAATTTTCCCCATAAGGATAACCTAGAAAGCTTTTCAGCTTCCTTTAACTAGATGTACTTGAAATTGCAGTCATGCACTTTCAGAAAAAGATGTGTAGTGGACAGATGTGCTTTATGAACTTATTGCTGCCTTATGGCATTCAAGGGGTGGGGGGAGACTGAGAAAGCATAAAAAAAGCCCCAAAAACACCAGGAAGAGAGAAATGTATTTATTTAAAGTAACTGCAAAGAAAGCCACATAAAGAGTCCAAAATAACCAGCCTCTGCCATCTTGTCAAGGAGAGTGCAAATATCAAAGGTAGTTTCTAGGAACTGTTATAAGATAATTGGTAACATTTATTGTTCCTTATCACAAATAAGCTTTAAATACAGGCTGGGTTAAGTAAAACCAGATTTCAGTAGCCATTAATTCTAAATCCCAGTGTCCTACAAATCAGGCCTGGTGCCAACAGCAGGCCCTTCATGGCTGATCAGAGCATTCCCAGGGCTGCCATTAATACATTTGGTAGGTATGAGACAGTTTTAGAAGAGATACATCACTCAGTTTTACACTATTTTTGTCATAATAGAGATCAGAGCCTGTATTTTCTCCGGTAATTTTGATATGTGAACAAAGAATTTCACCAAAGCTATTTGACTGGTCTGTAATGTCCCCAGTGCAGCTGAACCCTGTAAGACTAAAGGAACTGCCTCAAATTCTTGCAGCTCTGAAAATAGCAATGCTTCAAAATTGCATTCAGATTACACACAGAAATGTAGCTTTAAACCACAGGGTCATAAAAATATAACCACGATCAAGTACCTCGGATGCCCTCACCCAAGGCCCTCCGAGAATCACTGTTAGAAATGATTTCTTGGTTTTAATTCTGGATTTTCCTCCCTCTATCAGCATCATAACAGATGACAAAGATTTTTTTTTTTTAAATCGGTGCATGAGGAAAACTGGAACTACAGTGGTTTCTGAGCTATAATGTAACTGAAGATATTTTGCATTTTACATCTTCACAAAAAATTTTGTGATATCACAGCCGTACTTTGTAGCTAGAGAACGTCTCTTCATCTGGCTTCTCTCCTTGGCCTGTTTTGCGGTCCTCTGCAAAGGAGAAAGACAGGGCTGTTCAGTAAGTGCTGTTACTTGGCAACAGCAAGCTCCATGGAAAGCATTAGCCCACAGTTCACTTCAGTCTAATTTTGCAGTAAACACCACAATAAAATGCAAAATTTTTATTAAGGTGACATTTTCCCAAATCCTGAGGAAACCTGTAACAGTTTAACGCTACCTTTCCTCAGCCCCGTTGGGGAGGAACCCAGCAGCAGCCTGGAGCATTGGCACTCCCCAGGGCCTTCCCGTAGGACAGGGAGGTTCCAGCACGAGGGCATCAGGCCTGGAGCATGGTGCTCAGCAGCCTGCGCTGGGCCCAGCCTCGGGCTACCCTACCCCTGGGGTCCCTGCGCCCGAAATCCCTCCGGGGTGGCACTACCGCCCTGCGGACGTGCGCAGCGCTTCCGCGTGGGAGGGCAAGGGCCCCCAGCTGTCCCGCACTGACCTCTCGGTGGCAGACCGTGCACAGCGTCTGAAGGTTCTCCAGGGAGCACTGTCCTCCTCCGCTGTAGACGGGCTTGATGTGGTCGACCTGCCAGAACTGGCCTTCTGTCGGGTTGGTTATGATGTCGTTCAGCTGCAGCAAATAAAGGAGGCGACAGTGGAAGCGTTAGATACCCCTTCTCAACTACACATGTGCTCTGCTGTAAGAACAGGAAAATAACTCGGGGAATTAGCTGCTCATAGTTCTCGTCAAGAGAAAGGAAGGCAGCATTAGCATCTGTTACTCCCACTGGACAAGCACACAGCTGTAACTGCACTTGGCGTATTTTCACCGAGCCTGCAGCGCGCTGAAGCACAGTGCGGTGGATCACAGAAAAACAGAACGAAAGGTTCAGTCTTCTGGTACATAAGTTATCTTCAATGACATTTTATCAACATGTACATGTTAAATATACACAAATAAAAAGAGCACAACAGCTATGGTCCCATCACAAAAATGAAAGACTCTAACTAGGTGCCTATCATTTAAGTTTTTGATCAAGAAACTGGGAATTGTAGTAAGGAGCAATGAGAAGCCCCAGGTGATAAAGCCCTATGTCAGCTTGAAAAAAGGCAAATTAAATGCAATAAAGCATCACGTGCACTCAGCGGGGTCTAAGAAACCTCCGCTCCACAAGACTTCTCTCAGCCCGCTGGATGAGCACCACCTGATCAAAAGGTGGAAGCAACAAAGCTGATCTCATGCATACGACCAGTGATGGTAAATGATGGTAAATGATTCTATTGCAAGTTTAAATGGGTGTCTGCAGAATTCAATTAAACAACTTAGAACCAGTAACTTCTGAAGCAGAATTTCAGTTTTGCAGCAGTAAAGAAAAGAATAGAAACATAAAATCATAGAACTATAGGTTGGAAAAGACCTCTAAGATCATCAAGTCCAACCATCCACCCAACCCCACCATGCCTGGTAAACCATATCCCGAAGTGCCACATCTACACGTTTTTTGAACCCCTCCAGGGATGGGGACTCCCTGGGCAGCCTGTTCCAATGCCTGACCACTCTTTCAGTAAAGAAAATTTTTCCTAATATCTAATCTAAACCCCCCCTGACATAACTTGAAACTAATATTTTAGTTTCTGAATAAAAGCACCACTTTACATAGGAATGGGCTCCCTCCCTGCTCCATTGCCTTGGAGTCGGCGAAGAAGCAGTCACAGCCATGGAGGGATGGTGGTAGCTGCAATGCATTCGGAGGCGGTACTGAGAGGAGCTGTGGCAACAGGCTTCTGTTACGCTCCTACCAAATATTCTGCAAAGCAGGAATAACCCAGTACTGCTAGACTACATCCGTTCTTAAATTGTTTCATAACCATAAAGTTTGTTCATGAAGTGTGTTTCAAGTAAATCTGGCTGCAATATTCACATCCCTAAGGAATCTGAGTTCAGCCATGAAAAATGTGTCAGAAGACACGGGGGGTTTTGTGCTCAAGATTTGGTTTTTTCTTCTGTTGTTGGTGCTAGGTTAACTTTTGATCTTCAACCTGCAAGAACGTCATTCTGGATTTCTCTGCACTGTCTGCTACAGGAATACAGAAATTAGCTGTTACTGCTTAAAAACCAGCACTGTTACCTGCCCAAGGGGGAGCTGAGACATCCAAGAACTCTCCAGAAGTTTCTTACGCTGACCCTTTGGTG